CTTAATCTTTAATTTTTCCCAGTTATTCTTTATTCGTTTGAATTATATTATTCTCTATTCTTCATTTTTTTGCTCATTTTTCTCTATCAATTATTTTTTTCTCTATTCTGCATACCCCATCCAGACCCTTAGGTATGCATCGATGAGACAGCAACCTAATCAAAAACTATTTGTTTTCCATTACGCTATTTTCTTTAAACTTGTTTCAAAATATATATTTCATAGTGCATGTTATTTTTTGTAGTGCTTATAGATGCTAGGTTCCCAGATCAAGTATTTCATGAACACTTACAAAAAAATTTCGCCTGTGTAGGATTTAATACTAGTACGTGGCGGTATGAACGGATTTATGCAGTCATGTATAAAATTTTGGATGTCATGATAATATAATATAAGACAACAATTAACATTGGAATTATTTGAAGTGTTTTAGGGCAATATATTGAATATTTACAAATTAATAACACCTAGTATATAGAAAAGAAAAAAATAGTACATAGAGACGATAACAGGAATCGAAACAACAAAAAAAAGCCGGATATTACAAAAAGCTTAATGAAACTCGAACTCACGACTCCTCCGAAAAAAAACAGACTCACAAACAAAGCCAAATGAGCGAATATTTATACATGGTTCAAACCGTCGGAGTAGGTACAAGCACAAATTATGATGAAGTAAAACAAGTTTTAAGGGTGCGCACCCCCTTTTCCCCCATTTGAAAATGGTTATTAAATAAATGATACATAACTGGGAGAGATAAGTAGAGAAAACTGTATTTGCGTTTTTTTCCCTCGTGCCGGTCTATATTATCGGGGCTTATATTGTAATGTATATATCGAGTCATTATAATTGTCCAGAAACTGTAAATAAAATATGGTGCAATAAGTTTTGTGCACGCATTTCGCATGGTTTTCATTATATGAATAATTCATTTATGTTTATAATAAAAAATGACTGGAATATATTGTTATCTAAATATAAATTTCACTTGCATGTTGAGGCGTATAACAGTATAGTGTGCAAACTGGGTATTTTTTTAATTTTTGTTTGCAAGTAACAGAAAGAGTTTTGAAGGTTCCCCGACAAACCCTCGCTGAAGTCCCAGTACACTAGTTCTGCATCACAATATTATCCAGGTGTTCTATTCAGTAATGGTGGCCGTTTATCGACATAAGCAATAGATAATGATATTTGAATTTCACACCCTATGACAACAATTGTGTGTGTGTGTGTGTGGGGGGGGGGGGGGGGGGGTGCAGGGGGTGCTGCGGCCGTGAAATCTTAGTACATTTTGTAGTTCATCAACAGTGATAACTAGCCTGTCCACTTTGAGGTGGTTGTAGACATCAAACTTATTTTGATATTTTAGTTTGGTTCAATTTTTTTTATGTTTAAGCAGTTCTGTCAAGCAGATAAATAAGCTTTGGGTCAGTTGTAAATCATTTATAGAAATTCTTTGTTTTGAACTGTAAGTAAACAGTAGGATAACCCCTTACTAAGAACATGTTTTACATTTATTCTTCACAATTAAGAAACATCAAATCCTACAATTTCATTGGTCGAGAGCGCTTTGCTATATTCTAAACTATTTAAAAGCCATTGTATTGTATTTCGTCAGCATTCAGGTATATCACGCCGCAAATTTATTTTGGCATTTTAATACCCCACAAAATGAAGACAACTTAGAAGTATTGTTTTATTTTTTTGCTTGCAGGTTATCGACAAATGCAAGAAGTGTTGTAAAAATTTGGAAAGCCATGTAGTACTGATTACTAAAAGGATTATATTAGAATCATTCAGGTTGGTGTGTAAATAGTGTTTATCTTACTTCTGTTACCGTATATGTGTACACACAATTGTTATACTCAATTATAGTTATGAAGAAGAAGAGTCACACGTGTGATGTCTGTGGAAAATGTTTTAGACGTAGTTATAGCTTACGAATACACGGGTTACGACATTTAGGTAAAAAACAACATACATGTGAACTCTGCAGTAAACAATTTTATTGTAAAGCTGAATTAAATCAACACACAAAATATCATACCGGCGAAAAAAATCATGCGTGTGATGTATGTAGTAAAGTGTTTATCTCGTCTGTTATTCTGAAGGTACACATGAAGAGACATACATGTACCAAAGAAAGAAGTCATATATGTAACTTGTGCGGAAAAGCATTTTTAAATTCTTCTCACTTAACGAGACATACACGAATACATACTGGCGAAAAACCATACGAATGTGAAATGTGTGACCGTAGATTTTTACAGGATCGTCAATTGAGGGAACATATGAGAAAACATACTGGGGAAAAGTCATATGAATGTAACGTATGCAGTAAAAAGTTCGGTTACAACAGGACCTTACAGGAACATTTGCAAACACACACAAATATAAAGCCTTTTGAGTGTGATGTATGTGGTAAACAATTTGCTTACAACTCTAGCTTCAGGAAACACATACGAATACATACGGGTGAAGTATGGGAACACATGACAACACAATCACATGATGAACTTTACAAATGTAATATCTGTGATAAAGAATTTCATCAAAAGAAACAGTTAACGAGACACAACACGAGAACACATTCTGTTAGTACATCTTTCAAATGTGATGCATGTGGTAAGCTTTTTAAATCGAATGAATACTTAAAAAAGCACTTGAGAATACATACTGGTGAAAGGCCTTACAAATGTGATGTATGTTTAAAAACATATGGTCACAAAAGCATTCTGCAGAGACATTTGAAAACTCATACTGGCGCTGAGTCTGTCAGAGAAAAACGATATTTTTGAGATGTATGCGATAAAGGATTTCATCTGGTTACTGACTTGAAAAAACACAAGAGAATACATACCGGAGAAAGACCATTTAAATGCGACACTTGCCAAAAACGGTTTAGCACATCTAGTACCCTGTATTCACACCAGAGAATACATACCGGAGAAAGACCATATAAATGTAATTTATGTAGTAAAGCATTTTGTCAGAGTAATGATTTGACAAAGCATATAAGAATACATACTGGTGAGAAACCTTTTAAGTGTGAAATATGTTCAAAGAGTTTTAATCAGATTCAGCATCTGAAGAGACACTTGGAAACGCATAACTGATAACGACTGACAGTCACTATTAATATTATTTCATGTAAGAAAGGTTAGGGGTAACAATGGAGGTCTGTTATTGTTCCTCAAAAGTTTTTTTTTAATGTTTTAAGTTTAGTTTTAAAACATTATCAAACTGATATATGTACAATGTTTATATGATTTTTACACTAGATTTGTTGAAAAACTGTGCCGTGTAAATTTGATTCTCTGTTGAAAACTGTACAAAACTCTGGCCACGTTTAAAATAAAGGGTTGTTTCCTTTCTCACAGTCATACTTTAGTTTTATTTGTTTTTTTTAATCAAAAGGACTAAATATGGAATGACGTCAGTCTCAACTTCCTTTTGGTTTAAAGACAATACTCATGCTGAAACGGCATATGTTTTTGAAACATCAGCATTCATATCCTCTTCTATTTCATAAATAAATTCCTGACAACCCCACAACAACACAAAAAGTCATACAGTTACATAAACTATTTAAGCAAAGACCTTCTGCCTTTTATTTACGTTTTTAAGTGCATCTGCCCTGATTACACATCGATAAACTTTAAGAATTACTTGTTTAATCCTAAAACTCTCAACCCTAATAACCGTTATTTTATTGTTGTTTTCCTTTCGTGGAATCACAGCATTCTTTTCAATTACATCGGGCATGAATATATCACAGTAAAATCGACACAATGTTTACATTAAACCATAGTAATTGCAGCAAAATGGTCTATTATAGTGCAGTTAAGAAAATATTAAAGACCTATCATACTAGTAGTTGAAATTTGGTCAGCGATACTTTTGCATTAGAAGCATGGCCTTAGAATTTTACAAAAAAAAAACATTATAATTTGACTTATCTGAATAAGAATAATTTTTTCACTTAAATATATATTGTGTTTCTGTATTCTTATAAATTGTTTATTTTGATTGTACCAGCTTAATATGATAGCTGAATGTTCTATAAGTAAAGTACATGTTGATAATTTGTTATTTGATTGATGAATATTTATGATTTTATCTTAGTTAGCGAATATAAATCTGACTTTAAAAATAATAGATATTGATAAAAAAAAAATCTTATAATCCTGCGTTTTAGTAGTACTAGTAAATTGAAACTGAAAATTGGTGAAAAAAGGGTGGATGATGAGGGTGATGATGATGATGATTGATTCGTGTTTATTGTCCAGTGGCAAATATCACATGCATATATAATGACGAAAAAATGTGATTGTGATATTGAAATGAACCCTGTTTGTGCTAGACCGACATCATATGCGGATTTTTAATGTGCTAGTTCACAAGTAACATCGAGAATGCTAACAAGAGATCACCGAGGCAGAATACAATGGGGGAAGATACCACCAAAGTGTTTATAAAAATATAAAGTCAAAGATAAAAAGAGAAGATCATGGCCGAAATAAAACACATACATAGTTCTATCATTCAATGTTGATCCATATGGTGATACCACTTATACAGGAAAATACATGTAAAAATAAGATGATTTGGTATGATTGCCAATGAGACAACTCTCCACCAAGGACCAAATGACAACTATAAGCCACCGTATGCACGCCTTGCGTGATAATTTCATGGGAAAACACATTTCTCATATTAAGATGCCATTGACTGGAATTTAAAAGCATTAAAAGGCTAAAAATGAGGCCATAGAAATGTTTTATTTATATAATTATACAGGAAATAATGGTATCACTATTCCGGGACGACTATCTTTGTACAAGTATTTCGAAAAAAATAATGACATAAATTGTGTCACAACACCAGACACTTTTAAGATTAAAGACAAAGATATGTCTTAAGACCATCTTAGGACATGTCTAAGTCACAATAATATGCTACCTTTTAAAACCAGGGACGTGAGCTGATTGTAACTGAATGAATATATTCAAAGACAGTACTTTCAGAGTAAAAGAAAACGTGAGGTAGAAATGAGACAACAATCCAACGACACAAATACTTCTAGCCAAAATTTTGCCAAGAAATGGAATTTTATATATCGTGTGACAGGATGTGTGAATATGTTATTACAAAGAAAAGGGAAATTAACAATTTGAAATTAAAGTTAATTTAGATAAAATAATAGATAAACAAAATACTACAATACGAAATAATCCCTAAAACTTAATAAAATGGTAAAAAAAGGCATTATATTAAGTAAAAAAATAGGTCTCATTTGAATAATCTTACTCCAAAGTCCGCTATAAATAAAGAAAGATGGGAGTGACCGAAAACGAATGAATTTTTTCCAACGACCATAACTGCAAAAGGTTTATTTATAGCGGACTTTGGAGTAAGATTATTCAACTGAGACCTTTTTTTTTACTTTTACATAATGCCTTTTTTACCATTTTATTAAGTTTTAGGGATTATTTCGTATTGTAGTATTTTGTTTATCTATTATTTTATCTAAATTAACTTTAATTTCAAATTGTTAATTTCCCTTTTCTTTGTAATAACATATCACTATCCATTAGTCCATATGTTGATTTCAATGGAACTTTCACAGACTCTTAATCAGCTGATGGTATTAGGGACCTCCTGTGGTGATTATTGATCCAAATCATGTTGAAGGTTTCACATAGGATAACATGAGCTGTATAATATAATTTATCTTACCTTCTATACATTTCTAGGAATATGATTGGTTAAAAGCGTCCGCGTGGAGACCGTGTATATTCCATATTAGTTTAGTAAGGAGGCGGGGCTTATTTCATACACGGTTAGTAGTGGTGTTACGTCCCTTTATAAAAACAAAACGGTATTGAGAAAAAATCTTAAAGGTTTCAACAGACGAAGAAATTGATGATGATCATGAAGATAGAAATAAATTCATAAAACACATTTAAACCTAACAAGTTGTTATTGTTGGAATTTGTTTTTGTAGGATCAATGGAAGTAGTTTCTTAATGCTAACGGTATTGAAGACTTGCTCATTTTGATAGGTCACTAGTCTAAATTTCACACGTCAAGATAGTCGGTAAGATAAATTCGTTACATAGTGTGCTAGTGACGTAATACGGTATATATGGGGTCAGTAAATTCCATATGGGGATTCGAGCTTCGCTCTCACCCCATATGGAATTTACTGACCCCATATATACCGTATTAGGTCACTAGCACACTATGTAACTAATATTATATTGGGTTGAGGGGATTCAGAATTCCTTTGTGAGCTGGACTGGAAGTTTTTCAAGTTTATTTTGACCCCGGGGGTGCTTGCCATTCCACGATAATGATATTTTATATTTGATATAAAAGTTATTTTAAATGCAATATATATTTTTCTAGTGTGTATTGGATAATATAAACAAAGAAACATGATTTATTAAAGTGTGTTCGAAATTCAAGAACCCTTTTTGTCTTTCTTCTTTTTCGGTTTTTTCTTTTTCCTGTCTTTTCTTTTTCTTTTACGATCCTTATTTCGATTCCTACATTTCGGAGAAATGGTTTTGCCTGGACAACAAGAATAACAATTGTCTTTTTTCCCACAATTAATCTTGCCTTTAACACAATTCTTACAAAACTTATCGATTCTTTTCTTCTTCACTTTACATTTTCCTTGAGTAGGTGTCGTTGTTGTGGTTGGAGACGCTTGATTCTGACATTGTGGATGAGTTACTTGCCCTATGCAACACAGTTTTTTACATTTTTCGTTCGGACGTTTCCTTTCCAAACATTTTATGCACTGCTGGTCAGTACTAGGTGTTGATTTGAATGTCTGACTCATGGGTGTTGTATATACTGTTGTACTATCCGTTATTGTTCCATGTTCTAGTTGTATGTCTTTATCTGCAATAAGATTTTCAATTTAAATATTCATTTCGCATGAAATACAGAAAAGAAACATTAAATTGTTTTCAATTATCAACGGTTAATTTTTCTGGAGAACGTTATTAGCTTCATAATTGTTATGGTTTACATTTGTCCTAGGGAGGTGCACATAAAGCCATCCCGAACTACTGTGTGATTCTTTCAATTCGCTGACATCATATAAAAATAAGGAGATGTGGTATGAATGCAAATGAGATGACTATCCACCCAAGTTCAAATGAAGTGGATGTAAGCAATTTTCAATTGAAGTGTTGCCTATAATTGCTTACATCCACTTTATTTGAACTTTGGTGGATAGTTGTCTCATTGGCAATCATACCTCATCTCCTTATTTTCATATAGACAACAGTACGGCCTTCAACAATGAGAAAAAACCATACCGTATAGTCTCAATTCAACTGAGAAAACTAACGGCCTAATTTATAACAAAACAGTTTACGAAAAACAAATATAACATACATGTACCAACGACAACCACTGAACTACAGGCTCCTGACTTGGGACAGGCACTGAAATAATGTGGCGGGGTTAAAGGTGTTTGTGAGCGCTAAACTCTCCCCTAACCTGGGACAGTGGTGTAACAGCACAACATAAGAATAAACGATAAAAATCAGTTGAAAAAAGCTTAACTCATCAGATCGATACAAATCAGAAAAAAATTAAACAAAAACACAGACCGGGCGTATCAAGGTATTTATCCATCTCTCATCGCTAACAACAAAAAAGACACGAAGTACAGATCTGAGAGTACTCGCAGTTACTGACAGCTAATTCAAAGCCAATAACAACTTATAAAAAAACCACATTTATCTAAGACTAAAATATCAATCAGTACATCCAACATCCAATGAATGTAGTGTAAAGACGTCATTAACAATCAGAGAAAAACATGACCTTGTGCAATGCCAAAATATAGGTACCGATGATTGTAGTACCGTGAAATTACATTTGTGTATAACAATAATATCTAGTATGGTTTTAATTTACTGATAACAAAATCAATATTTATATCAATAAAAACAATATTCAAACATTTAATTACAGTGTTGAATTGGTAACCTTTTAGAATTAGTTTATTTAAAGGATTGATAAGTTTACCCGGATCGTATCTAAATTTCTGATTAACAATACCACCGTAAAATTTAGGATGTGCTATTCTGTTTGAAATAAGTTTTCTACAGGTACAGCCAAACTTGCAAATCAAATCTTTGTATCTATGGAAGAATTTAGTAAAGTAATTGGTGGTAACGAAATCCCTGACTTAATAATTTTCTAGTAATAGATAGATTACGCGGATTGAAATCCAAATTGTCACTACAGACACGGGCATAGCGAACGAGTTGGGATATATAAAAGACACAGTAAGACGCTGCCAAAGGAACATCATCGTCCAAAAAAGGAAAACGAACAATAGGGAAAGAAAATCGTCCCTTTTGTCGTAAATTTTTGTGTAGAGTTTCTGGTGTAACACTGAAATATCTAAATTTAGGAAAGGACTGTTATTGTTGTTAATATTTGATTTATTTAAAGTAAGTTCCTTTGGGTAAATTTCAGCAGTATATTTAGAGAATTCTTGATTATTAAAAGAAAAATATCATAAAAATAACGGCAAGTGTTGTTGAATTTATCAATTAAATAGAATTAAGACGGTTCTTTACTGAGTTTGGCCATAAACTGTGATTCATAACAGTATAAGAACAAGTCTGCTATCAAAGGGGCACACTTGGTGCCCATAGAAATACCTACAGCCTGTCGATAAACTTTATTGCCGAAACGTACATAAATGTTGCCAAGAAGAAAATTTACGGCTTTAATCATCTCATCACACCTCCAGTAAGTATATCTAGCATTTTTACCTTTCTCATTTGAGAAAAAGGCTTTATATGAGTTGCAGCAAATAAATCTGCATTCAGAGTTATTAAACGACATATTTAACTAAATAGGAAAACTTTTGTTTGATAAGATTGTATGGAAGTGTAGTATAAAAAGTGGAAAAGTCAAAACTGTCACCCGAATCAAAAGGACCATCAAAAGCACGTAATTTATCTTAATCATCCAAAGAGTTTTTTTACACTCCAAAAATGGTTAATTCCAACTATTTTCAAATATATTGTTACAAAATCTAATGATAAGTTCTTTGATAGTTGTTAAGGAAATCGTTAAAAGCACCGAAAGATTAGTAGTAGAACACTTACTAGAGGCCGAGATGAAACGATATTTTTCTTTTTTTTTGTGTAGTTTATTTATCTCTGAGAGCTCTGTATTTGGCCCTTGTCCTGAGTATACTCGAACTACTTGTAACAGGACGTCGATTGCAAAAAAAAAAAAAACCCTCAACACTTTAAAGTGGTTCGTCTAAGTGACACATTGCGAGGTCAGAATTCATTCCGATTCCCATCCGTTTTTAGCTCACCTGGCCCGAAAGGGCCAAGTGAGCTTTTCTCATCACTTGGCGTCCGTCGTCCGTCGTCGTTCGTTAACTTTTACAAATATCTTCTCCTCTGAAACTACTAGGCCAAATAAAACCAAACTTGGCCTAAATTATCCTTAGGGTATCTAGTTTAAAAAAATTATTCGATGACCCCGCTCATCAACCAAGATGGCCGCCATTGCTAAAAAAAGAACATGGGGGTAAAATGCAGTTTTTGGCTTATATCTCTGAAACTAAAGCATTTTGAGCAAATCTGACGTGAGTAAACATGTACATCAGGCCAAGATCTAACTGCCCTGCAATTTTCAGACGCATCAGACAACCCGTTGTTGAGTTGCTGCCCCTGGGTTGGTAATTTTAAGGAAATTTTGCAGTTTTTGGTTATTATCTTGAATATTGTAATAGATAGAGATTAACTGTAAACAACAAAATTGTTCAGCAAAGTAAGATTTACAAATAAGTCAACATAACCAAAATTGTCAATAGACCCCATAAGGAGTTATTGGCCTTTAAAGTCAATTTTTGCACAATTTTTCGTAAATATTTGTAATCTTTTACAAAAATCTTCTCCTCTGAAACTACTGGGCCAAATTAAACCAAACTTTACCTAAATCATCCTCAGAGTATCTAGTTTAAAAGATGTCTCCGATGATCCCGCCCATCAATCAAGATGGCCGCCATGGCTAAAAATAGAACATGGGGGTAAAATGCAGTTTGGCTTATATCTCTGAAACTAAAGCATTTAGAGCAAATCTGACATTTGGTAAACATGTTTATCAGGTCAAGATCTATCTGCCCTGAAATTTTCACACGCATCAGACAAGCCGTTGTTGGGTTGCTGCCCCGGAATTGGTAATTTTAAGAAAATAATAGAGATAAACTGTAAACAGCAAAAATGTTCAGCAAAGTAAGCTCTACAAATAAGTTAAATGATTAAAATTGTTAATTGACCCCTTCAGGAGTTATTGTCCTTTAAAGTCAATTTTTCACAATTTTTCGTAAATTTTTGTAATCTTTTACAAAAATGTTCTTCACTTAATCTACTGGGCCAAATAGAATTAAACTGAGCCACAATTTTCAATAGGGTATGTTGACCCCGTCATCCAACCAACATGGCCGTCATGGCTGAAAATAGAACATAGGGGTTTACTATAGAAGTCTATGGGGAAATTGTAAAAAAAAAACAATTTCAAATGGTCTTCATTAACTATTGTAAGACTACAATTGTATGACCTGCTTTAAATTTAACTACTGGGCCGAACTAAACCAAAATTGGCCTTAATCATTGTTAGGGTATCTAATACTATTTATTATGATTTTAACCTTATTTTACATGATTTCCAAAACCACAGTAGATACAAGTGAACGACACAGGCTCTTGAGAGCCTCTAGTTTAAAGACGCAGTCCCTTAGCAAAAAGATAGTTAAATTTAATATTTCGTGTAGAGAGATTGATGAATTCTCTGAATCTAAAAGACCCTTGCAGTTATTGTGGGGGTCTGTAGGTGACATATTGCGAGACAACAGTTCTTACCCAACACAACCTCTTTTCAAATGTTATTTATATATAATGTAATCTAACATACAGATCTTATCGAATTGTTTATTTCGACTAATTCGTTTACTGCATATGCATGACATAGTTGCCACAGGACATTGCGTTCCAACAATTAATTGATAAGTATTTACGTGTTCATGAAGCCAATAGTTCGTTCCCGCAAATATCATTCTTCTAAGCAAAGTAACGTGTTTTTTCTTACTTCTGCTGCCTTGTGTTAAATCAAAAGCTAGCAAAGATAATGGTTTGGTCCGAAATTAATGTTAAAATGTAAAAACATGCAATCGCAAGAACAAGATTTAAAAAAATATTGAAATATAAAGGTTTCAAAATATACCGACCGTATTGAGATTACTTATTAGACGCGCTGGGCATAAAATTATTGATGGCTTTGCTTGGTTAGTGTCCGAAATATATGTTGCGACCATCTGTGATTGTTAAAAGAGAGCTCATGATCAGTTGAAATACAGAAAAACTCGTGTACAAAAAAAAACCCAATAAAAACCCAAATATTAATGTCGTCAAGAGATAAGCTTTCGTGTTGCTTACATCAATGTATGATAACATACAATACGTTCTTATGTATTAAAGGATTTTTAATTTATAGATATTTTGAATAAATCTTACCAAATGTTAGCTTTGGGTCTTTACCCAACTCGAAAATTCCGTCACAGGCAGATTTGTCATTCTTTTCTTGTTCGTTTAATCCTATAAATTGACAAAAAGATCTATTATCATTATTTTGTAAATTTTATTTGCTTTTTTATGCTGACATAGATCGTTCTGGTGTAAAAAGCTGATGTAAACATTCAGTGCAAGGTTATGATTTATGTTGATTACAACAGAAGAAGATGTGATGTGTAGCGGAAACAAACAACAACTCAAGAAGAAAAATCATATAGGATTCAAAGTTCATTCTTCAACTGTTACAATAAATATTTTCGAAACTGTGTATTCAGCTCTAAAGTGGAAGTAGACTAGGTTTATCATTGTAGTGAAATATTTCTTGATCTTAATTTATAATTTAAAACAAATTAGAAGTTTAATCGAGCTGAGGAAAATTTCTGGACTCAAGTGTTACGCCGATAAAGGCTGCGTCCGCGTCCTAACATTGGTATTTAAACCACATCATTTTGTGGCTGTACAAAGTAAGACTATCTGTACCATGTAGTGTTCGTTGTAAGACTATCTGTACCATGTAGTGTTCGTTGTAAGACTATCTGTACCATGTAGTGTTCGTTGTAAGACTATCTGTACCATGTAGTGTTCGTTGCTCTAGTTGTTGTTTGTCTTTGTTTGAACGACTATTATGTGGTAAGTGTGGTCTGTTGTTAGGTCCAATATAATACTGGTATTCAGATTAGACCAGTGTTTGCGGTTGGTGTGGTCTGTTGTAAGGTCCAATATAATATTGGTATTCAGATTAGACCAGTATTGACGGTTGGTGTGGTCTGTTGTAAGGTCCAATATAATATTTGTATTCAGATTAGACCAGTATTGACGGTTGGTGTGGTCTGATGTACTGTCCAATATAATATTGGTATTCAGATGAGACCAGTGTTGGCGGTTGGTGTGGTCTGCTGTACTGTCCAATATAATATTGGTATTCAGATGAGACCAGTGTAGACGGTTGGTGTGGTCTGATGTACTGTCCAATATAATATTGGTATTCAGATGAGACCAGTGTTGGCGGTTGGTGTGGTCTGTTGTAAGGTCTAATATAATATTGGTATTCAGATGAGACCAGTGTTGGCGGTAAGTGTGGTCTGCTGTACTGTCCAATATAATATTGGTATTCAGATGAGACCAATCATTGACGGTTGGTGTGGTCTGCTGTACTGTCCAATATAATATTGGTATTCAGATTAGACCAGTATTGACGGTTGGTGTGGTTTGATGTACTGTCCAATATAATACTGGTATTCAGATAAGACCAGTGTTGGCGGTTGGTGTGGTCTGATGTACTGTCCAATATAATATTGGTATTCAGATGAGACTTGTGTTGGCGGTTGGTGTGGTCTGATGTACTGTCCAATATAATATTGGTATTCAGATTAGATAAGTATTGACGGTTGGTGTGGTCTGATGTACTGTCCAATATAATATTGGTATTCAGATTAGACCAGTATTGACGGTTGGTGTGTCTGATGTACTGTCCAATATAATATTGGTATTCAGATGAGACCAGTGTTGGAGGTTGGTGTGGTCTGATGTACTGTCCAATATAATATTGGTATTCAGATGAGACCAGTGTTGGAGGTTGGTTTGGTCTGCTGTACTGTCCAATATAATATTGGTATTCAGATGAGACCAGTGTTGGAGGTTGGTATGGTCTGCTGTACTGTCCAATATAATATTTGTATTCAGATCAGACCAGTGTTTGCGGTTGGTGTGGTCTGATGTATTGTCCAATATAATATTGGTATTCAGATGAGACCAGTGTTGGCGGTTGGTGTGGTCTGATGTACTGTCCAATATAATATTGGTATTCAGATGAGACCAGGGTTGGCGGTTGGTGTGGTCTGATGTACTGTCCAATATAATATTGGTATTCAGATGAGACCAGTGTTGGCGGTTGGTGTGGTTTACTGTACTGTCCAATATATTTGGTATTTCCTATCAATACTTATATATGATCTTGGCAAACTTCGTATCATTGCTATAAAGGACCCCGCCTATCATAATCAGCGTGTCCGTCCTTGTGTTCGTTCGTCTCAAATAGATAGTTTGCGCTCTCTAACTTTTAAAAACCTTGGAGTTGGGTATTATAATGCAATATTCGGTATTATAATTCACCATCCTAGACGGTATTACGCGATCAAGTAAGAAACCATTACTTATAGAATAACTAATCGAAGAATTCATATATAGAAAAATATTAAATGATTAACCGAACAACACATAAATTCATGAATGCTCGTAGCGCATAAGTTTAGTTGTAGTATTGTTTGGTCACGAGTTTTATACTTACAATACTTAGTATTAGTATTTGAATTATTACATAGACCATGAACTTCTTAATGGAAATAAAGTATAAAATACAAGGAATTATCTTCTAATTATCTATATTTCTGAAAGCAAATGTACTTTTAAACTTACTTCTGAAACATATAACGAAGCCTTTACCACCTTTAGATTTTTCAGTTGTCGACGAAAATTTGATGTTGACCTGGGTGTTAGGCGGAAATTCTTTACGAAAATCTCCCTTGTAAACCACGATCTCATTAATAGTCAGCTGATCGTTCTGCATATCGACGTCAAATAAACTTGTCTGTACTAAGACCCTGCTTCCACCTGCAGTAGGTACGATTATTGTAGTTTCACAAGTTTTCTCAATTTTTGAAATCTGTAACTTATTGTCATCAAACATCGTTCTGTCGTAATTCCATGGTATATGTTGATGGCTCAGTATTACACCACTATTTGCATTTCTTCCTATGTACCTGCTTTTGCATATTAATTCTTTAAAGTACACACTTGTTTGTGCAGCTAAAAGGTAAAGAAAAAAACTTCAAAGGAAACATCGGATGGTCAAAATTATCTTATTAAATTCTGAACTACGTAACATACACCCTTTTTTCAGTGTCAATCGAATTCTCAAAAACTCCCGATCTGTTCCTCGATTTGAGTGGAGTACATGTACATTGCATATTATTATGACGCAATAATTATTGTTCTGGTTTGTTTTCATTTGTTGTAATATTGCACTTTGATATCTTTTTTTTCAAGATAACATATCTATTTAGATCACTTTAATTTAAAAAATTTGGTTATAGGAATTCAGTTAATCTGACCCAAGCGACAATCAATTTGCTGAACATCATAAAAAACTTAGCAATTTAATATCTGAAGAAGAAAACTCAAAACGGAGTTTGAGATACAACGTTAAAATTATTAAATAGTGAACTCAAAATTCTTTTTTTCTAATCAATATTTAGCTGGGATTTAGAAAAAAGGTCACATGGCCATAATAAAAATCGACAGTAAAACCCATGAAACAGGAAATGTCAGTTTATGTTTTGTAAAAATACAAAAATACGAGTCCCGATAACTCGTGTAGGGAGTATGGATCAGTATGCAATAGATCTTAGAGATGTCCGAAGGTGGCCTGTACCGGTTGAAGCTAGGGTAAACTATCCCTATCCAGCATGTCTTCAGTCCTGATTTCAATTCACCCTGGGGAGGAGGAGGAGGCATAGCTAACGCGTGAATGTATTGTTAGTTTGATCCAGTCCTGAATATTACTGAAACATTTGACACAGGACGACATTTTAGCAAGTAAAAATTCATAAGAAAAAAGACAATTTTGTAAGATTTACCATTTCGGATTTGTTTGTATTACTTACCTTTAATACACATCCATTCGTGGATTATTATTGATTGTGCCTCATTTACACATGTTCGTGTATAAATCGGTGTCGAAGGAAACTGGATTAAACAGGATTGTTTCCAATAGCAATCAGCTACATCTGCTCTAAGATCGGCTGGTCGACCAACACAAGGAGACTCATTATTCTGGAAAAATTCACCAGAGGCCGGACATTCGTCAGATGAGGCATCAATGATTGGTTTATAAATGACCGATCCTAGTGGACAGCTTATGTTTATGGCTTTGCACATGTCATTCTGTGCAGGTACAGGGAAACACGAACACTTGGAATTAGAATTTGCCTCTGAAAATATATACTGTAAAATTAGAAAATAATAAAAATAGCAAAAAATATTTTCTTGGAAGGATGATTGGTTATTTAGAAAAAAAAACATGAAAAAAATTAGAAAAGGTAGAATTAACAACAGATTGACGGATACACGTATACATTGTCTTGATTTATCAAAAAACAACCAGAACCGTGCACCCTTCAAGAGGAGTGGCGACAGCATCATAGAAAAACACAAGACAACAAAAAAGTTTGGACATTGATACCACTATAAAAGATGAAATTATTAGCAAGAGACATTTTGCGTTACTCTCAACTTTGAGATATTTTCAAACAATGTCTTGTGTTCAATGGCCACAACTGCCGCAAAGTTTGCACAAAAACAAGGAAGATACTAATATCTATCTCTCTTTAAAATACCAAATATCTAATAAATATATTGAAGATTTTCAGGAAAGAGAAGCAAAAAACTTAATGAAGATCTAACTGACGGACGGAGTACAGCTTGAATCCCCTTTGACTTCGCAGATTAATGACACGCGTCAAATAACATATGTTTCATTTTTAGTTTAACTCAGTAAATATCATATATATTTTGAGATAACTTCGGGTGTTAAGGTAGTTATACATCCTTTACTTTAATTTTTTAAGGGAACGATCTTTACAAATTAAGATAAATACAGAAAAGCGCCTCGGACGCAACAAATCTATCAAGTTTTATCTGCTTTTTATTTTTTTATTTTTTTAGGGGGTCATACTTTAAATACAATGCACCTTGTATGATTTCCACAGTATTATTTACATAAATATTAATTCAAATATGTTATTCAAATTTATATTGTTGATGACATAGTTAAATTTGTTGTCGTTTTTTATATTTGAACGACACCGGTTACTTTGAGGTCTACTCCGAGCTCGTTCAGGACGGCGAAAAATATGGATGTAAATATTAAACCGACATATCTTTTTTTAAAATGATATGAATAATTTTGCACTACAATAAGAATAAAATAAATTTATGATGCCGATATTCATTTTCATGCAAACAATCCTACCTGCTATGAAAATATATCCAAAAACTACAATACTGAGCACAGTAATAAGTGCCATGGATTATAGTACGTCCTATACGATACTACATACACAAGTATGTTTAACAAATACTAGCGAAACATTCAGTATATGAGAACAATACATGTAATATGATCCGAGGTGTAGTGCTCCACTATTATACTGATTGGGCGGCATATTTGTCTATATTTATAATTGGTTGGAGTAGTAGTCTTCCTTCATTAAGTTATGTTTCAAGTGGTGTAGATAAAAATATCACTACCCTTCTCAAAGGTGAAATTTTACGTATTTTACAGATTACTGATTAAGTATTTAAATGTACATGTCTTTTATCTATACAAATAATGATTTTACTATTTATATGCATATGCTTTTCCTGTTTGGAGTAAAGAAGGAAAAGTTAAGATTACTTTTAAGCGAATGAAATACCAGTATATAAAAAAATAAAACCTTCAGAAGAGATGATGAGAATTGTGATCTTGCCAATCGTCGTAACTCGGACGAAACATATTTATAACATATTTATCCTTGTGCTATATGTAAAGGGTACAAAGTAAACCAAGGACAACCAAGTAGTTTATATAGGTCAGTCTGAGTGGTAAAAAGGTCAAGGTTGTTCTTTATTTGACATATTGGTTAATACGAGGCTCAAATATCCTACTTAAAGTACTATTTTAAAATAAATAGTTTATTAAACAGTCTTACCGTAAAAAAGAAAAAAACTGTAAATGTCAAGCAGATTAGGGAGCTATCATTTGATTTTTATGGGGGAGATAGGATGAAAACTTTTGTCCTGCATTTTTATTTAGTTGTTTATCCTGACTTTTTTTTTACATAAATTGTCATCCTGCCTTTTTTTAACATAAATTGTCATCCTGCCTTTTTTTTGGCGAAGTTGCTCATCCTGCCTTTTTTCAAATTTCATCCTAGCAACCCCCCCCCCCCCCCCCTTGCCCACCCCATAAAAATCAAATGGTAGCTCCCTTAGATGAAATATGTTCAATTTTTTACGACCAAGTTCACTTCATTTTGCACATTACAGATGGGTGCAGTCCTATCACGTACAAAGGTTAAAGTAGAACAGTCCTTTTGACCGCTCTCCAAGTTATATTTAGAAATTTTTAGCAAACCTACAAGTTGACTTTATCCTTAGTAGACCAGACCTGAGGTGAGGTCTGATGAAGCAGAGGGGACAGGTCAGATTGACCAGACGTATGGACAGGACAGCTTGACCAGACTAGTCCTACTGTTAACCTGCCTTGTGGAAAAACTGCCGATAATTGTTTTTTTTCTTTATGTAACTTACAAAGTGTTTTTTTTTTTTTCAGTTCTAAATATTGTTTCAATATTTCCACATATACTAGGTTCAGAAAAATCTGTGCAAGACAAAGTTACAAGGGAATTTCTAGGTTGGCCCTGGCATGTGCTGTTCTGCGAAATTGTAATGCAGATAGTGAACGTATTTTCCCAATGCTAAAAAAATCCAAACTGAACATAGGTCAGAATAATACTAGTATGGTCTTTTACAGTTATAAATTAATTTTTTTAATTATTTGAAAAAACAAGGATTTTCTACGCATGAAACATATTACCGTAGCTGTATTGTGGGTCTTTAATGCTCTTCAACTTCGTATTAAGGTGGTACCTAACACTACAGGGAGATAACTCTTGTAAAAATCAGCTAAACGTTTTAATCACGTTGTATTGTTAAGGAAATATTAAGCTCCTCAATGATCAAAATTAGTGTTTGTCAAACTGCTATATAACCAATGAAATTTTTCTGATAAAGTGGTTGGTTTAAATTTTTTGAAATTTTTATATTTTTGTCAAAGGGTCAAAGTAAACATTTCGTCAAAATTTTATGAAAATTAAACGAGCCAAATTAATATTAGTCGAGGTGTTGGGTACCACCTTAAATCGATTAAATTATAAATCTTACTGTTTGTCTTTCTTGCTCTCTAATAATTTTCAAGAGACACGAGCAGCCTACCTCAAAAACGATTAAGCTCTTCATTTCAGAGCAGTATCTCCTATGAGGAGTCCATTGACAGTTTAAGCTAATGACGCGAATAAGGAGTCGATTGTCGATTGTCGATTATATAAACTTATTTGTAAATCTTATTTTGAAGGTCATTTTTACTTTTCATTGTAAATAGCTTTCAAGAAAATACCGAAACAAAATAGATGATATTGTCATTTAACGATTTTGAAGGTAAACAACTCTTATAAAGAGTACATTGTCGATTCGGTCATGGTGATTTATTTGTCATTCATTTGTTGATCATATTTTAAGATTTAATTTTCTTTAATTCTTCTATAGCATTCCCCAAAACATAAAAAAAACATATAATCATCTTCACTGAAGGACCACAACTACTGTAATGAGTCATTCAACGATTTTTTTACATGTGATTTATTTGTATATCTTGTCTAGCTGATCATTTTTTGCTGTTTTCAGATTCGCTTTATCTGTTATACCTTTTAAGGATGATCTAATCTATTTCAATATAACAAGCTTTTAAAAAGATTGTTATAAATTGATAGAATATAAATAAAGGAACTAAATAAGCAGAAAAAAATAAAGGGCCCGTGTGCTTGTATTCGAGATATTAGCCATTTAAAATTTGGCGGGAAATAATTCTCTCTAGATTTTTCATACATTCAACATTGGCACCTTTTTTCTTTCAAAAACTATGAAAAAATAACAAGGATTTTATAAGATTTTTAAATATGGCTTTTGAAACTATATGTAATAGAATAATGAAAAGAAAAGTAGGGGTTAGCGGACAAAACTTTTGAATGGCACTACATGGATAAAACCAGGGGATTCCGAATATCTGGCAAAAATTCAAAAACAAGAGGAGCAAACTTCCTTAAGATGGTAGATAAGTATTAATATAATACAAATACCGAACTCTGAGTAAATTTAAGAAGGGAGAAGTCCTTAAAACCGGACAAAATTAAACGCTCAACAATATCAACCAACAACGGAACGATTGGAAACCAACAGTCGACGAAGCTCACAAATGGTATACGTCATCATTTAAAAGACATAATTCTATAATTTGTCGACTGACTGAGAAATTTTTTTTTTCTTTATTGTGTGTGTGTGTGTGTTTTTTTTCTTCAAGTAGTTGTCTCTTTAGGGTATAATTTTACGATTTGTTTCAAATAGAAAAAGCTAAATTTCAATCACAGTTTCCAAAAAAAGTAAAAGTAAAAGTGTTTTTCTTCAGCGTTTTTGCTGTCTATTCAATAATACAAATTCTGCTATCGATATATGCATAGGCAATTTTTCCTGCAATGAAACACAATATTCAGAGGCGGATTTAGGGGGACAGGGGGCCCGGACCCCCCCTTTTTTGGAAAAAATTTGGTTGCTTATATAGGGAATCACTGAAGCATGACTGGAGCGGGCCCCCTCTTAGGCAGTCAGTGGGCCCCCACTTATGAAAATTATTAGATCCGCCACTGATATTCATAACATTGATTGAAATAAAACAAAATAACATTCAAAACAAAATATTCTTAACATTGAACATGAAACAAAATATTCAAAACACTAAAAAATAAAAAAATATTCAAAACACTAAAAATTAAACAAAATATCCCAGAAGACAGATTTGTAAAAGCAATTTGCTTGTTTTCGAGTGCTAGATATTGACTTATAAGTATAATATCAATACGTATGTGATGAATTGTCTGAATAAATATTGTTTAAACTAAACAAAATATTTTAAATACTATCTGCACAAATAAGTATTCTAAGCAGTATATAATTTGCTGATGGTAAGTGCAGACACCATAATTTAATCGGCAACAGACTGCATGGTCAGGGGAACGAAATAATTTCGGTTTCGACACATTCATAAAAACATATTTCAATTATTAAAAAAATAAATGTGGATAGTGTCCACATGTGGACACAGATGATGACCCCGCTTGCATATCATGTAGTTATAAAGGGACATAACTGAAGAACGATAAAAGTGACGCTACCCAAATTTGAACTTGATCTGAGTTTTGTGGTAATAAGCATTGTGTGTAAGTCTCATAACATTTGGTTGAGGCTAACTTAAGTAGACAACAGAAACTAAAAATTCAGCAATTTTTCTATTTGTAAACATGCATAACTCTAGAACGGTTGTGTATAAGTTTTATAACATTTGGTTGAGACAATCTAAAGTTAACTCAAGAATGGTAAAAGTGCCGCCACCAAATTTCGTACTTAATCTGTATTTTGTAGTAATAAGCATTGTGTATAAGTTTCATAAAATTTGGTTGAGGCAAACTAAAGTTAGAAAACGGAAACAAAAAATTTGTACTTGATCTTAGTTTTGTGGTAATGAATATTGTGTATAGGTTTCATAATGTTTGGTTGGGGCAAACTTAAGTTAGAGAATGGAAACTAAAAATTTTGCAATCTTTCGATTTCAAGTATAAAGGGGCATAACTCAATAATGGTTAAAGTGACACTACCCAAATTCAACTTGATCTGTGTTTTATCAGTGGAATTCAAAATTAAACATTGCATTGTATAAAGCATTGATTGTAGATTCAACTATAATCATGGACAAAGGAAGATAACTCCAATTTTAAAAATTACTTGATATTTAGAAGAAAATAAAAATTTTGCAATTTTTCCATTTATAAAGGGGCATAACAGTTAAAGTGACGCCACCAAAATTCAAACTTGATCTATGTTTTGTGGTAATAAGCATTGTGTATAAGTTTCATATCATTTGGTTGAGGCAAACTAAAATTAGAAAACGGAAACGAAAAATTCGGCAATTTTTCCATTTATAAATGGGCATAACTCTAGAACGGTTAAAGTGATGCCACCAAAATTCATACTTGATCTGTGTTTTGTGGTAATAAGCATTGTGAATAAGTTTCCTAACATTTGGTTGAGGCAAACTTAAGTAAGAGAACAGTAACTAAAAATTTTGCAATTTTTCCATTTATAAAGGGGCATAACTCTAGAACGGTTGAGGTGACGCCACCAAAATTCAAACTTGATCTGTGTTTAGTGTTAATAAGCATTGTATATAAGTTTCGTAACATTTGGTTGAGGCAAACTCAAGTTAGAGAACGGAAACCAATTTTGGGACGTACGTACGTACGTACGTACATTACGTTCATAATTACGTACGTACGTACAGACGGACAAGGGTAAAACTTAATGCATCCACCGCTACGGCGGGGGCATAAAAACAAAACACCAGACTTTAAATAGAGTGTATCATTATGGTAAAATTCTAGTTCAGCTCAATTACTGCAGGTATCGGTATCAT